TCTAGAGATACAAGATGAAATTTATATTCTTTTTATTTTTATTCTATATTAAAGTCAAAATCTTCTCTCAAGATAATATTATTTAATTATTGATATATAAATAATTTTTAATCTATTATTCTTATTTATTAGTTTTTTCAATTAAGTTTAATAATTATTATATTAATATAATTTAAATAAATAATATTAATTAATAATCAATTAATATTATATAATAATACTCAAAAACTTTTAGATAATATTGCAAAAATTATAAATAATATCCAGTTTTGAATATATTATCTAATTTACAAGAACTTTATATTCTTTTTGTGATTTTTTGAATAAATTACAAAAAAACACAGCTTATTTATATAAAGTTCTTTATTATTTTGAATATACAATAAAAATATTTAAATCCTATCAAGATTTTGAGCTTAAATTAAAAATAGTAACATATATAGATTATATTAAAATAAATAAGAATAATTATTAATACTTTTTTTATATTATATTCTCAATACAAACTCACTAAATTCAATAATACAATTGCTAATTTATTATGAACTTATATTAAATAATGATTTAAATATTATTATAAAATATAATATAATTTTATATTTATTTCTATTTTAACTAAATTAATATAATACAAGTAAGAAATTAATTCACATAATATTGAATTATTTATATAATTTAATAAAAATTTAGTGAATTTTTGAGAATCAAGAAATCAGTTCAAAATTAATATAAGTTATAATCTATATTCATAATATTTATATTAACTCTATATCTGTAGAATATTTATGATCTTATATAAAATTATTATATATTAACTGATAAAATTAATTGTAAATTTATATATTAAATAATTATATTTCTATTTATTTTATATTATAACTAATATTACAAAAAAAAGTTTTAATAATAAGTCAAATTCAGAATAATATTCTTTATTCTCACAAAAATATAAAGAATATGATATTTAAATTCATCAATTATATATTGAATATCTATACTGTCAGATGATAAAATTATGAAATATGAATTAACTACTATTAAATTTAATTATCAAGTAAGTAATAATAATAATAAAGATAACTTTGAAAAAAAAAACAAGTTTCAAATTTTATTATCAGATAAATCAAAATTCTAAAAAAATAAAAATTTAATTACAAATGAAAAACAAAGATAAAAAAATTTAATTCAAGAATAAATAAAACTTGAAAATTATGAGAATTAATATGAAAATCAAGAAGATACAATTTTGTTATCAAGTAGTTAGGATATAGATTTTAGTTTAAAAGAACAAGAAAATCATTTTGTTAATGATAAAATAATTAAATATTTTTAAATTTACTTTTTATTTTTTTTTTGAAAGTACTTGTATATTTTAATTTAGAATTTATTATAATAAAATTACATTAAGATAAGTATGAAAGTATTGATATTATAAATATTAGAGTTTTAAATCTAATAATTATTGTTAGTAAATAAAAAATTAGAAAATAAGTTTATATAAAATACTTGCTTATCATTTTTTTTAATTAATATTATTTTATATAGTTTCATTTAGTAATAGAAGCTACAACTAGTTGCAATTCTATTATAATTCTTTGATTAGCTATCACAACTCTGTCATAATTCTTTGATTGACTGTCACAAGCTATAACTAGTTGAGAAGCCATCTTTAGTTTTATTATATTTTTTTATCTTTATCATTATTAATTTTCAAATAGTATCTGCAATATTATTCTTAGAGATATATCTATATATATTATGTATATGTATATATATATATATATATATATATATATATACTATATTATAATTACTAACTAATATTATAAATAGCTAATATATAATTATATATATGATTAAGTTCATAAATTATCACTAATTAAGATATTTATACTTAATAAATAATGATAAATAAATATATTTAAATCAATACAGAATATATATATAATAATAATAATAAACTTTTACATCTTTATTATTTAAAAGTTTTATATGAGAATATTTAATCAAATTGGTTATATTGCTGGATTTTAACAATAATATGCAAAATGCAAAATGTAAATATTATAAAACTCTCAAATATCAATACAATAATTCAGTAATTTATGTAAGTTATATTTGCATATATGTTCAAATATCTCAATTGAAGTTAAATAATTATTTTTTGATATTGGCTTTGAAAATCTAGAAATTACTAATACAAGTTCACTCAATACCAATTCATCTGGAAATTAACTTATGTAATACAAAGCAAACTCAGATCTTTTTAGTAATACATTAGCATGGAAATACATTGATAACATTAATCCAATTGCTTGGTGAATTACAAATTTTATACAAGTCATACCTGAATTAACATAATTAGCACAACATATCTTAATAATTCCAATATTGTCTATAGCTTCTGAATGTAACTGGTCAGCTTTTGCAAATATTTCATAATAAAAAAAGAAATTAGTTAAGTAGTAAGCATGCTTTTAAATTAGTTTATATTTATAGTAATTATAAATTACAAACTCCTCCAGATAATCAATAAAAATTATCAAAAAAAGCATTAATGATGAAATAAGCATCAGTCAATATTATGCTGGTAATGAGAGTGATGAAAGCAAATATAAGGATAATAATGAAAGTGAATATCAGGATTGTAATGATAAAGAACAATTTAATAGTGATAATTATTGATAAATATATATTATAGTTATAGAAAATAAAATCATTATTAGTTTTTATGAATTTACATTATGTATTTGATTACTATATGTATATGTAGATCATTATGCGTGTGCCCATCTCTAGTCATCCTCAAGGCGAGTTATTTGTTTGCATGATTTCAATTAGCCAATCATTTCGTAATTTTCTATTGAATGAAAATTATGGCTCAGGTCATAGGTCATATGAGGATTTTTATGATCTTATGACCTATGACAAGTCATAGAGGTCATAAAGGTCATAAAGGTCATAATAGGTCATAGGCCAACACTGGTACATTGACAGTTTACCAATAAATATCATGACATAAAACCATCTACCCATTTTTGAGAAAATTGACATTTTTGAATACTTGAATACAAGTTAGTATATTATTCTTTTGTGCTAAATTGCGAGCTTTTGCTGCAATAATATATTGAGATACAATTTTTAATTGTCATCATAAGTCACAAAACCATTCTAAAGTTCTTCTTCAAGTTCTGAATATTTAGAATGTGCACCAATATTGAGCCATTGAATATAGAGAGCTAAACGAATTAAATCATTTTTCTTTTTTTTCCAATCATGAACTTGCTCGTATACTATTTCCATTTTCATGATATAGCACAATCATTAACTTTTCACGTGCATTCCATTGATGCTATTTTTTGTGTATTTCTTGCTCTTCGAGCTTGAAAGTTTCTTCGTGACATCTTGTATTAAAAAATTTGTGTTGGAAGATTGAAGATTTTCGCATTTATTAAATATATAATTATATATTTCTCTATATATAATACCCTCCAATACACAATAACTACCGTATATAGTACTCTCCCATATATATATCCTCCCAGTATAATACCCGGTTCCATACACAGTATCCGGGGATACTATTCAACTCTAATGATAGATAATTTTGATTAAGACCCGGAGTACTATAAGCAGTGCTAAATGGTAAATGATATCTGTAGATATCAGCACAGAATTTAGAACAGCAGGCTTAATTATTCTAACCTCTCTCTCTCTCCCACCCATAATCACAGATGAAAAAATTCATTAAATTCACTTACGTAAAACCTACCTGTGACAGTATAAGAAATGCTATCACAAATGAATTGAACAAGTGAACTCAAAAAGGATATGATCATTACATAGTTAAACCTTTCAAATGACCAAAAGTATCACCACGATTTATTGTATGCCCCGCTTTACCATTGTGAGTTTCAACAAATTGAGGGAATTTGATCAATTGTAAAAGGTGAGGTTTGCTAGAACTGGCACTACCCAAATCTTCTTGCTATTCTTGCTATTAGAGATAAATTGTTGCATGCTTTAAAGAAAAGGTTATCTGTTGGGTTTTGGAAAAGATCACTTTATAAGGCTGAAGAATATTATGATTTAACCGATGATATATTATTGCTTAAGTGATGATATATTATTGCTTGACTGTGATTATGATAATTTTTTAAATCGAACAGGTTGAGGATTAATAAAATTTTATTTATGTGAATTCAAAATCTGAATAAAATTATATTAAAATGTATCTCAAAACCTAAATTGTAAATATATTGGTATATCAACTTTTTGTACTGGGTCATATTGATAAATTAATTTTTTACTTGCGTTAGTTGAAAACATAAAAAAATATAAAGTAATTCCAAAACTCAAGCTAATTTAACATCCTGATCTAAATTTACATATTATCGTTATTGCTATATTAGATTAATACAAAGATATAATGTCTTTTTAACAAAGATTATTGAGTATCCTGCACTCCAATTAAATCCACATTGTTTTATATTTGATGAAACATTAACATCAATTTATTTGAATAGTATGCGAGCTGAATGTATGCCAATGTATAACATTATAGGTTCTTTTAAACTTTTGATAAATTGTATCATAAAGAGAGTTTATTAATGAATAAAAGTTAGATAAGATAGTGAACATGGTTCGCGTCATTATCAATTTTTTACAATGTTCATAGTAATTGCCTTGAGAAATGCTTTCACAAGTGAGGCAACCGTGTTTTTCTTGGGCTTTGGGACTTGTGGACTTGTATTACTGTTGTGAGTTAGCAAAACTCATCCTAAAGGAATTTATACGATAAACGATTCCTCATATATACATATACAAATATTCTACTTTTGGTAGGACAATAGCTTTCGATTTTCCAGGTGATGATCATTCTCGTATTATTATGTGTTTATATACTTTTTGTTAGCATATGTTTACATATTTTTTATAGGAGAAAACGTGTTTTTACAGGGTAAACTGTTTAGAGATACTATAATTTAAGATAACAAAAGTTAAGCACCATGACTTCCACAGTTTTTGTCTTTTTCTACTTGCTGAGCTCTATATGCTGCGACAACAGTCGCAAAATAAATCTATTATAACGATAATAAATAAATTTGTCAAATTAATGCTTTCAGAAATTAAACAAGACAGATTCCGTCTCCCGCATGCAAAAAGTAACTTACTGAAATAATAATTGTAATCACATCAATAATAATTGCAAATAAAAGCACGTTATTATACGCTGCTGTACACGTATCCTCTGAGTATTCTTCCAGATCCTCACAATAAGAAAGATACGAATCTTTAAATGAAATAAAGAGAATAATTTCGGTGATGTTGTTGATGATGTAACGTAACGCGATAGACCATGCGATTGTCACGTAAGCTTGTGTTATTTTCTTGGAAAACAAATATAATAACGATAATAATTCAATTAAACTCACGTTAATTATGATTATGTATTAATTGTTTATAGCTTACCGCAAAGCTCACGACGATTAATCCGTAAAGTGCCCCAATTACAGTAAGCGAAAACATTATTCCCGTGATGAGAGTAAATGTGGATAAATATGAATAGACTGTTAAATAAAATTAGTTTGAATTAGCAACAAGCATAATAATAATAATATGTACAATATGATATATGCAACGATTTTACAGCTATCTGTATTAGTATTTCCGAATGCAATGAAGTAACTAATAGCTTCATAAAGGCCATACACCTAAAAATAAAAAATTACTTTAATAACAGTTTCGAGCCATTGTTAGTTTTATTAATAGTTCCAACTTACAAGCCACAATATACTAATAATTATTACACCGGTCTTTAAATTAATGCAACAACAACATGTCTTCATGCGTGGCGGGTTAAACGAGTTTTCAGCTGATTCAGTCATTGCAATATTGATACGTAATGTTAAATTGTAAAAATTTGATGTAAAGAATAATTAGACTTAGCTTGTAAAACTATTCCCCAAAAAATAGGAACATCCTTTGAAAACGGTTTCTTAAATCTAAAAATTTTCTCTTCACAATGTTGTACCGTATTTCACCCCCTCTGGTATTATTAATTAATTAACTTTGCATGAAGAATAACGGTATTCACCAAAGTAGGAAATCGCTCAATGTGCCAATCATCTACAAAAGTAAAATTACAAATAAACGGATTGTGTTTTTGTTTTGTAAAATGCGGACGTTTCTTTATGTTCTTACTAAATAAAGCAACTTTGGTAGAATGCAAAAGATCCTTTTTTAATTTTTTATTGTAATACATGTTCAATATGAACACAGCATTTATTACATAATACTACTAGAGGGAGTAGTGCATCTCACAAACTGATCCAGTAACCTAATAAAAAAAAATTTCAATTGAATAAATAAAGGGGTGAGTTGCATCGTTATTGTGCAACACACAGACGTCCAATTTTAACGTTCAATAGCTCTTTAGAAAGCTAAAATCTTAAGCTTTAAAACAATATAAAAAAATATGTCAAACT